TCTGGCCTGTCTGGGAAGCATGCCTTGGCTGCAATCTCTGCAAAGGGTCGTGCCAAGGCTAGGTCCTGTACCAAGATGTCGCTGGTGATGGCATCCAAGGCATGAGGGATCAGCTTGTCCTTCCCTGTCAATGCTGTGGTCTTGAGATATTGGCAAAGCAGTGACACGTGCTTGCCCAGGACCACCAGGTTTCGAGTCGGTCGAGTTTGAGTGTTGCGATAGGTCATCGCAGTGAGCTCTGTGCCACGACTTGGTGCACCACTGAGCATCTGTGCCCTCAATAGGAGCAGGCTTTGCAGCTCTGCATACTTCTTCAACCAAGCTTGGAGGGCACCCACATTCCATACAATACCTCCCTGCCGTACCATGGCAAAGTGGGCAAAAGTTTCCTCATCTTCGAGGAAGTGCCTGACCAGTCGGCCTCGACTGCCAAGCTCTGGATTTCTGACATCAGACAGGAAGCAGTAGCCAACATCCTTGTTGATGAGGTCCTCTGCAATCTTGTCATAGTCCACTCGGATATCCTTGCCCATCAGCACCCCCTGCTCCCAAGCCTCTACCAGCTTTGCCTCTGTCTCTTCAAAGACCTTGCAGAGATCTCCAAAGTCCACCTGCTCCCCTCGGTAGAGCATCGTCTTCCAGGTCTTGGTGTCTGTCCACCACACCTGAGGAAGGCTCATGGTATCGTATGACAGGGAACTTGCCCTGTGTTGAAGAGAACGTAGACGAGAGAAGGTATACTGGGTGTTTTCCACAAAGAAGCTTCCCAGATCCAGGCAGTGGTCCAGGTCCTCGCTCTGGGGGTCTGACTGCATGCGGTGGTGAATCTCTTGGAGGAACGTGAGTCGCATGCAATACTCCAACTTGGCTATGATCCCAGTGACTAGGTGTGGCTCCTTGAATCCACCATCTTCCCCAAGGGTCAGAAGGGCCAGACACCTTTCTGTGGGGTCCACAATCTCCCTCTCCCCTCGAGGCTTCCATGCCGTGCTCCAAACCTCAAAGAGCAGCTGGTGGATGATCTGCAAAGCCTCTGGTCCTTCTTCATCCCCCATGCGGAGCACTGCAAGCAGCTCCATGACATTGGGGTTTGACCCAGAGAATGACCCTCCAGCATGTTGTTGTCTGATCAACATTGCCAGTAGAGCAACCACTGGGATGATGTATTGCTTCATGGTGGCCTCATGGAGGTGCTTGTGGAAGGGTGTGTTGGAGATGCCACTGGTGGATGGAAGGAATAAGCGACCGGTCGCCTATTTGTGAGTTGGCATGGCTGCTTACTTTTTGGTGGGGTCAGGTGAATGTAATCTCTTCAGGACCAGTTCATGTGTATGGTCTAGCAGAGAGAGCGCTTTTCTATAGTATGCTTGCACTGCAAGCTTCAGTCCAGGGATGTCCCCATCATCGTCCTTGGGTAGGGAAACCCAGCTCCGCAGCAGTTTGACATTCTTGCCTGCAACCTGCTCATGCCACTGTGTCGTCAGCAACCAGGGGCTCACCATGCGACCGTCCAGTGGTGTTTGGACCACCTCCAGTGTTGGCTCCAGTTCTTTGAGCAAAGAATCCACCAGAGCCTGTCGAGCCATTGGCTCACTCTGCCTTTCTTCATCATCCTTCACCTCCCAGAATGCCTGCAGGTCCCCTGAACTTTCCTTCAAGTGCTGTACTTTGCAAGCTCTCCAATGTTTTGGTCTGGGTTCCATCGGGTGGTCTTTGGAGTGATGTTTCCGTAGACGCTCTGTTGACCTGGACAAAAGGTCACAGTGACTGCAAGCCATGGCCTCAAAGACTTTCAGACCATGGACAATGGTTCTAGGCCCAGTAATACCAGTGGGCAGCCGTTCTGTCACCTCCAGTGATGCCATGGCCAGCTTCAAGGTCATGTCACTGTAGGTTGCCTGTCTGCCATGGATCTTTGCCAGATGGCTCTTGACTTCTCCTGCTCTTAATGCCATTTCACAGACCTGGCATGTCAGGAAATGGAACTCTGCATTCACTGCAAGGTCCAATGAATCCAGAAATGCATCAGAGATGAGCCCTGGGGCTGTTGTCAATGGCAAGTGTGGCTGCTGGGACCTTTGTGCCAAAGATGGCACAACATTGCCAGTGTTCTGGTTGTGGGCTTGGATCGCTGACTGAAAGAACTCGAGTCTGGTCGTTAGCAAGTTGGCTCTGATAGACTCACTATGAGAGATGGCAATCGTGGTGCTGGTGCTTGAGGGGATTTTTGAGGAGGGACCGACTTGTGGGCTGTAGGTGACACCATCCTTACATCACCCTGGAATGGTTTCCCAGTCCATGGATAAGCGACCGGTCGCTTATTTGTGGGGAAGCAATGACACTCACTGCTGGTGGTGGGGGTGAATGCATGATTTCATCTTGTGGGATCAACTGGTGAGGAGATGGGATCTTCCCAAAATCCTCTGCTATCTGTTTCCCTGTTTAGCACTGTGGGGTATGGATAGACAGATGCAACACATCTACTCACTGGGGATCCAATGGACCTGTGATGGAACTGGTGTGCCATGACCATCCATCATTCCATTGTCACCAATGGCCATAAGCTTGGTACTCACATCTCCACTGTCACTCTCACTGATATCTTCATGCTATAATGACATTGGGCAGAAGAATAAGCAACCGGTTGCTTATTCTGGCTTGGGCCAGCCACTTACCAAGTGCTTGCTGGCCCTGCTGGGACCACCTGCATTACCCTCCTCCTCATGGGTCTGCGATAGTGATGTCATGGGTGATTGGTCACTTGCTCCTGAGAATACCACTTACCAAGTCCTTGCTAGGTCCAGCTCCAATCCCTTGTCCATGGGTCTGTGAAGGGCAGATAAGCAACCGGTCGCTTATTTTTTTGGTGGATGAAGCCACTTACCAAGTCAAATTTGCCCATGGGTAGATTACCCTGTTAACATGTTCAGAGTTGTTTCCAAATAAGGAAACTATTTCCCACCACTGCTCACCTGTATCTCTGGCCCCTTCCATGTACTACCAGCCTTCTTGATATCAGACTTGAGGTTGCTGGCATACTTGAAGGGCTTGCCACAGCCAAGGGCAGAACAGTTACAAATGAAATCACCCATGTCATTCCTTTGCAACTCAATAGTCTGGTTGGTGTGGGGCAGGTGGATGGTAGCCTTGGAAGAGCATTTCTTGCTGTGAGCTATGTAGGTACTCTTGGTGGAGAAGGTGTCTTCACAGGTGGCACAGACATAGTTGGGCATGGTGAGGTAGATGGTGGTGGTAAGAAGCAGAGATGTAAAGGGGAAAATTTCCCACAGTCAGCTTTATTTATTTGGCTCTACCCACCCTAAACTACCTAATTGGTGTGTCATGCCCATTTGGATGTCCAAATTAGGCAACTACCTTCAGCCTGGTCAGTGGTTTTCTTACTTTCTGCCACAAGTCAAATAAGCAACCGGTCACCTATTTTGCAGGCAGTCACAATGAGTGGCTGTGCTAGTCGTGTTCAGTACTAGTGTCTGACTTGTCCAGATAATCAGCTTGTTCTTCCCAGCTGCCTCCTTGCTACTTTACTTCCCTTGCATCCAGATAAGCAACCGGTCACCTATTTTTCAGACAGTTGCAATGAGTAGCTGTGTCTACTACATCTTTTGGTAATCTGCTGTTTTTGCTAATCAACTGCCTATCATCTTCAATCCAGATAAGCAACCAGTCACTTATTTTCTCTGCTCTCTGTGGCTGTGCATTTCCTTATATGGAGGTTGCATTCAGTGGCTGTGTTGGTTGCATTCACTCACTGAGAGGTTGCATGCAGTGGCTGTGTAGGTTTCATTCAGTGGCTGTGTAGGTTTCATTCAGTGGCTGTGAGGTTTCATTCAGTGGCTGTGTAGGTTTCATTCAGTGGCTGTGAGGTTTCATTCAGTGGCTGTGAGGTTTCATTCAGTGGCTGTGCAGGTTTCATGCAGGAAACCTTCCATATAAGGCAGGGATGCATGTGTGCATTCCTAGATGCATGCACGCATTCCTAGATGCATGTGTGCATTCCTAGATGCATGTGCGCATTCCTAGATGCATGCACTGATGCTACACTCTTCTCTAGATGCATGCATGCATTCCTAGATGCATGTGCACATTCCTAGATGCATGCATGCACACATTCCTAGATGCATGCACCCTTTTCCTAGATGCATGCACTGGTGCTACACTCTTCTCTAGATGCATGTGCACATTCCTAGATGCATGCACCAATGCATGCACCAATGCTACACTGTTCTCTAGATGCATGTGCACTTTCCTAGATGCATGCACGCATTCCTAGATGCATGTGCACATTCCTAGATGCATGCACCCTTTCCTAGATGCATGCACGCATTCCTAGATGCATGCACCCTTTCCTAGATGCATGCATGCATTCCTAGATGCATGTGCACATTCCTAGATGCATGCACCCTTTCCTAGATGCATGCACGCATTCCTAGATGCATGTGCACATTCCTAGATGCATGCACCAATGCTACACTCTTCTCTAGATGCATGTACACTTTCCTAGATGCATGTGCACTTTCCTAGATGCATGCACGCTTTCCTAGATGCATGCACGCTTTCCTAGATGCATGCACGGATGCATGCACGCTTTCCTAGATGCATGCACGGATGCATGCACGCTTTCCTAGATGCATGCACGGATGCTACACTCTTCGCTAGATGCATGCACCCTTTCCTAGATGCATGCGGACCCTGGGGCAGGGTCCGGAAAGCATATTATTAGTCAGTAGTAGTCCCTCGTCACTCCCCAGTCCAGATAACCAACACATCCCTTACCTTCTATACTCATACTTTCCAGTTCAGCCTTCGTCCCTTGCCATCAGTAGTCTGTCATCACCACTTAGTCCTCATCCTTATCACTCACCTGTCTCTCTTGCTTTTTTCTCCTTTGGCCTCCCTAGTACCTGTTCCAGATAAGCAACCGGTCGCTTGTTTTTCCCAGTCCCTGTCGCTGCCACATGTACAAATCCCTGCTCTTCTATTCATGTCTGTGAGTGCTCGTGATACCACATGATCAGGTCAATCAAGTTGCTGTGATGTCCTTGCCTCGGTCGCCCCATCAACCACTTCAAATACACTCCACCCTCCCCCCACCTTTCCCCAAACTTTTTCTCTGCTTCCCTTCGTAACTCCTCATTCAGATAGATCCCATATGCTGCAGGTGCTACCACATCTCCAAACCTGCAGTCCTTGTTCCCCTTCTCTGCCTTCTTGAATTGTGGGTGCACCTTGTCATTTACCTGTGGCACGTGGCACATGTAGCAGATCTTCCGGTGGTGCCGCATGTCATACTGCAGCCCTCTTCTCCACTCCACATATTCCCTCCATCCATTCCCATCTAGATGTGGGCATTCTCTGATCCCATGTCCCTCCATCGCACCTTTCCTCAACACTCTGCACAGACTGCAGCACCCCTCAAAACTTTCCAATGCTTCCAGTATTTCATCCCCCTCTTCTAATCGTTTCATCTCTTCCTTCCCTCGCTGCTGTCTCGCCTGTACCACTGCACTGTCAAAGCTAGTCTTCAGAGCAGCCCGTCTTTCCATCAATCGTCCCTCCATCGATTTCATCGCCTGCTGTTTGAGTCTTGCTGTCCCAGCAACCTGTATGTCCAATGGGTCATGTCCTGGTTCCTCTAGGCAGACAGAGCATTTCTCCTTTCCTTCCTCCATCCAACAACCAACCCCTTTGCTGTCATTGAACAGCGTCATCCCATACCGCAGGCATCTCCTTGGCCCATAGCAATACAGTAGTTCATACATCGCCCATCTCGCCTCCCCTTCCAGTCCCATCGTCTCTATGTTTGGCAGTGTTGATGTCGGTGGGATGATCGTATAGCAGTTGGCTGCCTGCCCATCTCGACCAGCTCTGCCCTGTCCTTGGATGTAGTCCACCATGTCAAATGGTCGGTCCATGTGAATGACCGTTCGCACGTGAGGGTAGTCGTTCCCAGCGCTGAAGGCAGTGGTCGCAATTAGCACCTTGGAGAATCCTTTGATCCACTGTCCATACATCCATCCTCGGTCCTCGTCAGTCGTCCCCTTGTCTCCATTGTAGAACGGATATGCTGTCATGTGTGACAGATGCTGACCCGCTGCTATGGATGTCACAAACACCAACCCTCTGTCCCTTTCTTCCCAGCGTGAGCCTTCCTCCTCCAACACTTCTGCCACTCGTCGATGCATGGAGTGGACTGGCACCCTTTCCAAGTGATACCCCAGTTCCCATCGGTCTGTACTCTGTCGGATCACCTCTGTTTGCTGCACCAGCTGGAATGTGGTCTTCACCTCC